AGCGTACGGGGCGCCCCCGAGCGGGCACGGGCACCCCCCGAACGGGCACGGGCGCCAACGTGACGAAACAGGGAAACCCATTTCATTATGTGCGAAAGCCATGAAAGAACCCCGATATGCAAAGATTTTGGGGGAAAGCAGCGGGTCTGTAGAGGGAGGGCGATCATATGGACCCCGTCGCGACGAGGGGATGGGGTCGGCCTTAGAGAACACTAAAGTGACCGTACCAGGCAGCAAAGGATAATAATATCGCGCTCCAACTTGCACAAGGCATGGTGGCCGATTTCCATATCCACCACCCGCGGGGGGGCCCAAGAAGCAGGCTCCAGCCTCGCAGCCATCCCATCGCCGCGGTTCCATGGGCCCCCACAAACAGAACCACTGCCACCCGTTTGACCGACCGCATCCATGCAAAATCGAATGTCCAGAGCGCGATTCACAAACAGGCGAAAGGTGAGCGGTGCCCGCCCAGGGGGCACGGCATCCGACGCGCCGGCTGGCTTTCTCATTGAGGGCGGAGTCAAATCTGAATTGTCCCGTTCAGCAAATTTCCGCACAGCACAGTTTCGCTTCATTTGTAAACGCGCCGGCCACTGAACAAGCCACTTCAGCCATCCCATCGGCCACCGCGGGAAACCAGCACTGGTTGGGGACGACGAGCCACAGATCACCCAGGACGCCTCCTCCCTCCGTTCCTTCGCCCCCTCCGCCCCTGTTCCTTGCTCGCTGGCTTCCTTCTTTGCCTTCCCGCCTGTCCTCCCGCCTGCTTTGTCCCGCCGGCCCTGGCCCCGCGCCTGCGCGCCCGTCGCCGTCTGCTGCCTGCCCGCCGATCCTCTCCTGCCTCCCCTCGCTGGGCACTCGTGGCTGCCGGGGGACGGCCGCATGCGAGGCCCCCAGAGGCGCGCCTGATGTGGGGCCCGGCGACGGGGCGCGCACGACGCCGGGCAATCGCCGTCAGTCCCCCGGCCACTCTTTCTCGTCACCGTGGGCGCCGAACGATGCCAACGACACGCCCCTTGAAACAATAACCACAAACCGCTCGAGACGGGCAGGCGGCACGCGGCGGCCTCTGCCTCGGAGCGCAGTGGCGGCCCGCCCCCACCTCCACGGTGTCCCCGACTGCGGGGCAAACTGCACGGCAGAGCCCGCGACGCATGGGGTGGAGAGAGCGCCAGGTCGCGCCGGCAGCAACTGGCAGCCATCGGACAGCCAGGCAGGCCACGGCGGGGACGCGCGCGCCTTGCAGCAGCAACGAGCAAGCAACGCCAGGCACAGGCACAGGCCGACGACGCCGCCAGACCGCTCAACCTTGCAGCAACAGCAACCACCAGACAACAACCACCGAATCGGAGGATACCCAGTGCATCCTCACAGCCCCTTCCTGATCTCCCCTCTCCTTCTCACTGTTGCGACGGCAGTGCGGAGGCCTTACCGCCAGTGCCGCCGACCCTGAAGGGGGACGACGACGACGACGACGACGACGACGACGACGACGACGACGACGACGACGACGACGACGACAATGGCGACGACGACGCTCGCGAGCCCTCGTGGGGGCTCCTGTGGGTCCTGCTGGCCTCTCTTGGGGGGCTTTTTAGGTCGTCTAGGGACACTATTGGCCCGTATTCGGGCCCTCTTGGGTCGTCTTGGAGTCGCCTGGACCGTTTCTTGGGTTCATCTTCCCTCTCGCTCTCACTATTCGCTCCTCCTCCTCCTCCTCCTCCTCCTCCTCCTCCTCCTCCTCCTCGGCAGGTCCCTTCTCAGCCATTTTGGCCCCTGCTTTCCATATGACCCTGCTACGAGGCTGGGCGTGAAGATGGCCCTGGCCTTCTCCTCCGGCCCACCGCCGAGACGCGGGGGAGCTGCCCCGAGGAATCCCAAATTCGCGCAGTTTTCCACATCGCTCAGTAATGCCATTAGGAGCCCGAGGCGGGCCCAGATGCTGGGGCGCCTTGCGCCACTCGCCCCCGCATGGAACTTCGAGCCCGAGGATTATGAGGCGTACAGCAAAGGCAAGCAGCCAGCCGACGGCAGTGACCTCAGCAGCACGACGACCGACGACGATGATGAGCTAGACACAGGCGTGCCCAAGACTGGCAGTTCCGCAAGCTCTATGTCCGAGGAGACAGGGACCAACGTTCTGGCACATTCACCCCTATCAATTCACTGCCCTCCCTTCCCCCTCGAGGGGGACTGGGGGGGAATTCGGAACGAAGGATTCGATAAGTGGTTTAATTGAGTGTCTTCAGAAGGAGAGCGACTCCGAGTCATCCCGCTCACCGGCTCAGACCAATGAAGATCAGGGGGACGTCTGCATGCGGCCCAGGAACCAGGAATTGTGGAGTGATAGGGAGTTTGCTCTCGCAGCGGTATGCGAGAATTACCTCGCCATGGAGTGGGTGGACGTCTCGTTGCGTCAGGATCCCGAGCTCATAGCTACCGCTTTATGGTGCTTCGGGGAGAAGTGCCGTGACTACAGCTCTGAGCCGCTTTGGTCCGAGGATTGGTTGGCGAACGACTTCACTGTAGCGAAGGCCCGCGAGCTGGCGTGGCGGTGGGTCTCCACCGTGGAGGCGCGCTACTTCAAGCGGGCGCTGGACGCCATCTTCCCTGTCGTGGAGGACCAGGAAGAATGGCAGATAGCGCAAAGTATCGAGGGTCGCCTCAGCCTGCTGCATCTTGCATGCTTTCCCTCCAGCGCCGCTCCTGGCACCGCGCCCGAGTGGCTCGCTGGCGTCCAGGAGGCGCTCTGGATCGACCAGTCCATCTGGAACGACACCGAAGTGATGGGCCTCCTCAATCGCTTCGAGGCGAGCCTGGGTCTCCCGATTAATTATGTCCTGCTGCTAGAAGAGGGCGTCAAGTACGGGTCGAAGTTCCCAGAGTTCGGCATTCCCGTGCCTCTGCACCTCAAGCGCAAGGGCAGGTGGGAGAAGGTCAATTGCGACTCCGCATACCCAGAGGACGGGGAGGCCCTTGTGGTACCTCCCAACAACCCGCAAGGCCCAGCGCCTGTGATCTTGTACCTCCTGGGCGCAGGCAAGTTCAACAGCCGCGAGTCATTCCTTGGTGGCGAGATGTCGGTATTGTGGGAGAACGAGCCACTCAGGGAGGATTACTACATGGTCGTGCCCAAGCCCGACACGCGTACTGGTCTCATCTACTACCTCGGCGAGGGCTTCAAGAGGGAGTGGTCCGAGGACGCCGTCTGGTGCTTGTTCACTGAGATCCTCAGGCGCCTCGGCCCAGAGAAGGTCGACCCGTCACGGCTCTACGTGAGTGGTTCCTCGCAGGGCGCGGTGGGCGCGTGGGGATTGGCAGTCAAGTTCGGCAGCATGATCGCCGCTTGCCAGCCAATGGGCGGCAGGTGCGAGTGGCCCAGCAATTCGTGGCCCAGTGATTCCCCCTCCCCTACGGAGGAGGCCATGCAAAACCTGAAGCTGTGCCCGATCCGCTGCTCCCACTGCAGCACGGACTCGTATGCCCCCCCGCCGAAGCGCGACATGGAATCCCTGACCTACTACGCCGCCGAGGAGCGGAGCTACGACATCTCGCCCTTCGGCTGGGACATGGCCACGAAGATGGACACCACGGTGAAGAAGTGGGTCTGGAAGGACACCATGAATCCGTTCGAGCTCTTTTGGGTGAAGGGCCCCATGGCGGACAATTGCCCCATGTGGCCTGGCCTGGACAACCACCTCGTGTGGTTCCGGATTATATCCAACCCGCTGTGGGGCTTTGCCGCCTTCTTTTCGGAACATACCGTCCCAGAGGAGCGGCAGTGGCGCTTCGACTCGGAGCCCATGAAGGTCGACACGTCAGCCCACAGGGCAATGCTGGAGCAGATGGGGTACTGGGACAAGCCCGAGCCCACGCCGCCCGAGATCAGGACAGAGACCGTGTACCTGGGGCAGGTCCAGAATCTGGGCGAGTGCGGTGCGCTGGACGATGACGTCCGCGAGTGCCTCACCAGCAACCTGGCCAAGTGTGCACAGGACCACGAGATGCTCGTGCTGCTCCAGATCGAGGTCCCATCCCACCCCGTGCCCCTCTCGATCGAGCTGGCTCTGATCAAATGGCACGCGGACGTGAACAAGGCAGTGACCGCCTTCCAGAGGCACCTCGGGGCGACCCTGCAGAACGTCGCGCAGGGCCAGGAGCTTGGAGTGTCCCTGCAGGTCAGCATCCCAGTGCCTCCAGAGGCAGTGCAGTTCCACGTCGTGGCCAATAGGCCTTGGGACAAGTCCGCCATCTGCAAGCTGCGCCCTGGGCTGCCCGTTCTGGCGCTCAAGATCAGGGCCGCGGAGCTGATCTACATGGACGCCAAGAAAGCGAACTGCTTCGAAGTCGGGCTCCGGCCGAACCCGAAGCCCGGTGAGAAGTCTCAGCCCATCGTCCCCCTGCCGATCGACATGCCCTTGACCGAGGACCACCTCGAGCTCGACGCGTGCCTGGAGGACAAGAAGGCCTCCGCGCCACCGCCGACGCTGCAGGCAACCGACGCATCCATGATGAAGCTCATGGTGCTTCTGGCGCACCACGAGGACCACGAGCTTGAGGGCTACCGCCCCACGATCCACACCCTTAAGAAGGGCACCACGGTCGTCGAGCTGAAGAGAACCATCGCCGATATCACGGGCCGCAGCATGGACGAATTCGGCATTTGCCCGGCCACGGCATTCCCCGAGAACGACAGGGAAGGGGAGGGGGTGATCAAATACCCATTGAAGGACGAGGCGGTTCTGACCGAGGAGAATTGGCTTTTACAGGTGTGCGACCTTGGCCTGGCGATCACCTTGGACCTGGGCGGCATTGCCAAGGAGATGGACATAGACAAGGGCACCACCGTGAGCAAGATGAAGTGGATCCTCGCGAACGGAAACGAGAAAAAGGCTCGGAATTATAGGCTGGCCCTGGTCCCGGAGGAAGGGGAGAAGCCCAATCCATTACCGGACGACCTCGTTCTGACAGAGTCGCACGCGCGCCTCATGCTTTGCTAAGCGGTGGCAGCTTCCCGTTGAGAGAGGTCGCTGGTCTCGTCACTGGTTGACGCCAGGCGGATGCCAATAGCGCACCCAGCCGCGTCAAGAAAGGCCAAGTTACGCTCGGTGCTGCGATTCAATGTCGATTCCCGATCGCCGAGTCAGCGTCGGTTGCTCATCAGAAGACTCCCTGGAGTCTGATAGAGCTGCGCGTGCCGCTGTTGACCCTGTGTGCTGTTCGGTTCGGCCTTCCATCTTCTACCTATTGGCATTTTGAGTAACTCCTGCTTTGCACTGACAGCTCAGGCGGAAGCCTGCGCAACGCGCGATTCCTCGGCAAGCTCTCCAGATCTCCCACTCTCATCATCACGCTTGCGCCACGTCCGCCGACCACGTTCATACACACCAAGAAGGTTTCCGCCTGCACGCACGTGCGCGCTGGGGTGCTTGAGTCGCAGAAGCCGCGGAGGGCGGCGGAAGGGGCAACAGGAGGGTGGGATATGCCCAGGGCGCGATGCATCGACCCTTAATCGCCCATTCATCGCCGACAGGTTCTTGATAGCCTACCTCGCCCAGAAACTTTTGGGCTCGATATCGGGGGGCCATCTCCGATCTCTGAGCTATGTATCGCCGACTCGATTTCGATTCTCCAACATCCTGAGCCAGCTCCCCTCTAGCACTCCGACGCAAGAAAGCGAGAAGTAATCATTCTTGGATTCGGGGTTTTCAGAATCCTCCTCCTCCTCCTCGCCCAGATGGCGACCAGGGTTCTCCTCTGAGTAGTCCTGCGAATCAGAGCGCCCGTCCGCCCAGACAGGGTGAGGACTAGGCCGGCGCCGAGGCGAGGCCAGAGCACCACCAGCACGGCCTGTGAGCGTGGCGAGGGCCGATCTTCGACCTGAGAAAGCTCCGGAGGGGAAAAAACACACAGACACAATTAATCTTCGATCCCCCGGGAAATATTGGAAAATATGGGAAGTGGGGGGGAAGACAGAAGCCCAGAAAATATGGGAAATATGGAAACTATTGGTATTTGGTATTTGTGTGTATTTATTTGTGTGTCCCTGGGCCCCATTCAAAAGTGGCCAGCCCTGAGGCGGGAAGGGTTAGCGGCTAATTGCCTTGGCGATCCCAGACCTCCTTGCGCCGTGGAAGAGAGTCACAACGACTGGTGTTTTTTTGGCCATGCTTGGCCCTAGCCGGGCGCCGAGACCGTCAAAATCGACTCGGGAGGCACGGCCGGTACCTCCCGGGGAAGCGGTCCATGGTGATGTCTTGGGGTTCACGCGAAAAGTCACGAAGCCAGACGTGTTGGATTCAGGAGCCCAGACGCCTCCACGATACGTCCACTCTGGTTGGATCGACGGCCGTCAGGGCATGTCAGGGCGACTCGGTCTCTAGGTCTCCGTGTCACAGCTGTTCGTTCTGTTCGTTTTCGTTGGTCGGCTTATTGCTTCGCCTCTAGGACAGGGCAACACGAATTTCTTATCAGTCCTCCTCTTCGCCACGTCCATTGCGTTAGCGCTCGCGACCGGGAGATGGGAACGAGCGATCTCACGCGCCAGATGACACGAGAGTCGGAGGACTTGGCAATGTTTCGTCCCCTGGTGCCTAAGTCGCCAGTAGCCGTTCGTGGCTTTCCCAGTGCGACAGGTCCCGAGTGTTTGTTGGGACCAAGAGCGCTTGGGCTCGCCGGCTTAGGGATTTGATGCGCCCCTGAGGTTCTTCAGCACCTCACCAGGTTAAGCCTTCTAGTGCCTGGCGCGAACGCCGGCGCTGGTGCAGGGCTACCAGGCACCAGCGTCGGCGCGAACGTCAGTTGCTGGCCCAGCCTTGCACAATTGCCTATAGTACCTTACCGTTTTGCCACGCATACGCTCCCCTGCTTCACCTCCTCGGTTTCTTACCCCGCCTCGCATCGCTCGCTCCTCGACATGCCCCCCTACCTTCCCCTGGTTTTGTGTGGCTCCGCCGGCGGGGGTCGCAGGGCCCCCCCCCACCACCAAATGCTGCTTGGTTTGGTGAGTCGTGCCACAGCGGGGCGGGGGCAGAGTCGAAGGGTGCAGGTGCAGTTCAGGCGGGCTGTGAGACCTGTTCTTCATGGGGGGCGCTCCAGGAAGGCCCTCGTCTTCGAGGAGGGAATCGAGACGTTTGCCCCGTCGCCCTCGTCGGGGAGCGGCGGGTGCGAAACAGGTCCCCGAGGGGTGACCATTGCTTTGGTTGCAGGGTTTGTGCAACACTCCGTGCGGGGGGTAGGGTGAAGCTTCAGCCCATGGTGGGCGATGGTGGTGGGCGATGGGGGTCTTCGGAGCACGGCGCCTTGGCGGGATCGGGGGCGCGTGCAGTCAGCCACATTTTGAGCGGGGGCGAGCAGTGTCCTGGTGTGTGTGTGTGTGTGTGCGTGTGTGTGTGTGTGTGTGTGTGTGTGTGTGTTTGTGTGTTGTATGCCGTTCAGTTCATCTTGAGTAGAGCTCGCTCGGTCGTGCTCCTCGGTGTTCTGGATTCTGCACGCTCGCTGGGTTACAGCCCTTCCCACCCACCACCCATTTCTGCACGTCAGTGATTGACGGTCCTTTCACTGCGCTTTCGACCATGCTCGATCGCAACTCGCACTTTCATCTGCTGGCGGGCCTGTTTTCCACTACCACTACCATAAGTTAGAGGGGAAGGGGAGGATGTGGAGAGGAGGAGGAGGAGGAAGAGAAGGAGGGGGAGGACGAGGTGAGGAGAAAGGAGGGAGGAGGAGGAGGAAGTGCAGTACACCCTCCCCCCCTTCCCACGCATGGTAGTGGCAGTCCGAAACAAGCTCATCATCTGCTGCCCGCGCCCGAGGGCCCCCTGCGCCGCTGGCCTACAAAAGGTGTGCTGTACCCCTGCGCGCCGCCGACCGCCCGGCTGCACGCTCTGGCTGGCCTCGACGCCTCTGCCTGCTTCGGCCCCCCCACGCGGTCAAGGAGCGGGTGCCTTTCCTCAAGAAGGGAACAACCACCCGGACCGGACAACTGGCGTTTACTAAACGGCCCTGGGCGCTCACTGAGCAGCCCCGCCCTGCTCGATTCCTCCTTCGGGCGCGTTTGCTGAACGACTTCGCGTGTCGGGGTGGTTCTTGTGGGGGTGGATCTCTTGACTTCCATCTCCAGGCTGTGCCCTCCGCGCCACGTGCCCGCCCGTGGAGCTTCTCCCCCTTGTGCGCAGCAGCTTCGCCGCTGTTCCGGCCCAGGCACGGCCCCTGCACCGCACGGGTCCATGCTGGGAAGTCTGCGTGGATGTTGAGTGTGGGACGTTGTGTGTGTGTGCTGGGGTGGGGTGGGGGTCTCACCACCCAGCAGACCACACCAACCTAACCCGAAGGGCTCAATTTGCCCTCCATTTCCGTTTGGGGGGGGGGTCGCGTAACATGGAACAAACACATATGGAACCCCTACCCCCCCTTCCAACCCGAAATTCGGGTCTTCGGGTTGTGTTGGGGTGGTCTGGTAGGCAGTCAGGTTCCAGATCAGTGTCGGAGGGGATTGGGTTCAGCCAGCCATGGAGCGGGGATCCGCACAGCGAGTCGAGACTCGGTGGCACGACGGGGAGCCCCCGAGTCACCCCGATGGGGCTCGCCAGTTGAGCATTCGCATGTCCTCACGGTGTGTGCTCGGTTCCTATGCTGGGCTCTCGCCAGCCGGTGCATGAAGCACCACCTCCATAGGGGTCGTCTCCCTGCGTGATGACACGGTGCTGCTTTCTCTGCTTGCTTGTCTTTCTGTTGTGGATGTTTCCTCCGCCTCCTGCTATGGCCTCGCCCTCGCCAGCGGGCGCTTGACCGCGAGAGAACGCACGGACCACGAACGAAGGCCCCTTCGACAGACCACCCCGTGAGGGGCCGAGGTCCTGTTGCCGACCGCGCGCGCGCGGAACGGCCTCGGCGCTCGTTCGGTCGCCCCCGTGGCGAGCGGTGATGTGGTCCTTGGCGAACTAGGCTGCTCGTCGTCCAGCTCTTTGCTCTTCGAGCTTGCTGGGCCGTCAGTTGGGGGGCTGCTGCAAGATCCCCGGACAGGAGGTTCCAAAGACGGGAAGTTGTTCTGGGTGGACGTGCTGTTTCGAGGACGAAGAAACAACACCAATTTCAAAATTGTCTGAGGTCCGTGCGGATTTCTGGATCCCCCCCCCCTGGTGGCGGACGTCCAGATTCGACAAATGAATTGCGCGTCGATCCCCAGACGTTCATGTTAATGTTGTTTCTTATGCTGTTCGTATGGCGACTCGCACTCGTCGGAGAGAGCCCCTCGCGCGTGCGTGAAAGGCCACGTCGTCGAGGCTAGGGGGCATTGGCAGCTGTCTCGGTCCATGGCCATTGCGGTCATTGATTAGTGCACGTCCCAGGTCGTTGTCGTGGCGTTCGCCAAGATGAGTGTGTGTGTGTGTGTGTCAGCATGTTCTTTGTGAGCGAGGTCCCAGATTTCTGCTGGCCCTGGTGGTTCCCAGCCTTTATCCTCTCTAGGGTACGATTGGCCCGCAGGTCGATGAGCTCACGTGCCCATCTTGGGTTTCCCACGCTTGCAGTTCACGCAGAAGTGTGCAGGCTCGTTCAGGTCTAGGTCTAGATCTCGTGCCGACCGGGCAGTCGACAATCTGCTGAGGTAGTGGGTCGGAAGATCCCGCGGACGGCCGATGTTTTGTTCATATGTTTTGTCCGTCTTCCTTTCAGAGGACATGGATCGGAGCCCACAAGAGCCTGGCGACTTTTCTTCAATCGACTCGCGGTGATCAGGCAAGGTAAATCGAGGCAGTGCTAGGTATATCCAGAAACATCGAGGTACATCCAGATACACCGAGGTAGATCCAAAGAGATGGGGTCAACCTGGAACAGGTCGCAGAAACTCCAGCGCGAGTCGAGGGACAGCAGATGTTTCTAAGCCCTTAGGCAGGGAGGGGGCGGTCATGCATGCCCAGGGCACTGGATGGGTGGCAGCCCCACGTCTCGTGTCTACCTCTCACGCTTGTAATCCCGCATGCGTGCATTATCGTCTGGG